AGGCTTGAGCCACTGCGCCTGGCCCTGTTTTTCTTTCTTTTTCTTTCTTTCTTCTTTCTTTCTTTCTCTCTCTCTCTTTCTCTTTCTTTCTGTCTTTCTTTCTTTCTTTCTTTTCCTCCTCTTTCTCTCTTCTCTTTCTTTCTCTATCTATTTATTATAGAGATGGGGCCTTGCTGTGTTGCCCACGCTGGTCTCAAACTCCTGAGCGCAAGCAAGCCTCCCACTTTGGCCTCCCCAAATGCTGGGATTACAAGAGTGAGCCACCACCCCCGGTTGCCTCCGTTTTTTTTTTTTTTTTTTTTTTTTTTTTTTTTTTTTTTAACTTTGGGGACAGGGTCTCACTCTGTCACCCAAGCCAGAGTGCAGTGGCCAGATTGCTGTTCACGGCAGCCTTGACTCCTGTGCTCAAGCAGTGCTCCCACCTCAGCCCCCTGAGTAGTTGGAATTACAGGCAAACATCATTATACTCAGCTAATTAAAAAAAAAAAAATTGTAGAGTAGGGTCGGCTATTTTGCCCAGGCTGGTCTCGAACCCCTGGTCTCAAGTGACCCTCCCAGCTTTGCCTCCCAAAGCGCTGGAATTCCAGGTGTCAGCCACTGAGCCTGAAGGGTTTTTTCATCTGTAAAACAGGCCAGTGGTGATCCTTAACTCATTAGATTGCTGAGAGGATTGAAAGAGACAGTCCAGGTGAAGGTGGATACAGTAAAAATACACACTCCTGGCCGGGCATGGTGGTTTACACCTGTCATCCAGGGCTTTGGGAAGCCAAGGCTGGAGGATCACTTGAGCCCAGGAGTTCAAGACCAGACTGGGCAACATAGAGAGACCCTGACTCTATCAAAAATACAAAAAAATTAGCTGGGCATGGTGGTGCCCCCTGTAGTCCAGGCAGCTTAGGAGGCTGAAGTGGGAGGATCACTCGAGTCCAGGAAGTCAAGACTGCAGTGAGCTACGACTGTGCCACTGCACTCCAGCCTGGGCGACAGAGGGAGACTGTCTCTAAAAACAAAAACTAAAAAAAATTTTTTAAATGGCTCAGATTGTTCTACCTGGAAATTCTCATGGTGTAGATAGAGACACTGGTACTGGAAGACAGGGCCCAGACTGGAGGAAAAGAAAGGGACTGTGGAGAGAGCCAGCTGACGCCCCTTGCCTTTGGACAATCGCCTGTCCCAGACACCTGCAATCCCTGCCCCCATCAGAGGGGGAATGTGAACACCTGCTGAAGGGGAATTCTTACCCCCAGCCCAGGCAGAGCTAAACAGAACCACTGAAGGCCGGGCGCGGTGGCTTACGCCTGTAATCCAGGTACTTTGGGAAGCCGAGGTGGGCGGATTACCTGAGGTCAGAAGTTTGAGAGCAGCCTGGCCAACATGGTGAAACCCCGGCTCTACTAAAAATACAAAAATTAGCCGGTTGTGGTGGTGGGCATCTTTAATCTCAGCTACTCATGAGGCTGAGGCAGGAGAATCGCTTGAGCCTGGGAGGCAGAGATTGCAGAGAGTCAAGATTGTGCTGCTGCACTCCAGCCTGGGTGACAGACCAAGACTCCATTTTAAAAAACAAAAACAAAACCAGGCACAGTGGCTTACACCTATAATCCCAGCACTTTGGGAGGCCGAGGCGGGCAGATCACACGGTCAAGACATCGAGAACATCCTGGCCAACACGGTGAAACCCTGTCTCTACTAAAAGTACAAAAATTAGGTAAGTGTGGTGGCAGGCGCCTGTAATTCCAGCTACTGGGGAGGCTGAGGCGGGAGAATCACTTGAACGCGGGAGGTGGAGGTTGCAGAGAGCCGAGATCGCGTCATTGTACTCCAGCCTGGCGACAGAATGAGACCCCATCAAGAAAAAAGAACGGAACCAATGGAGATTCCCTGAAACCCTGGGGCAGTGATATAGACACTAATGTCCTAGAACCTTCCAAATTAAGTGTCACCCGCTTATCTGAGCCAGGCTTGAATTTGATTCTATTGAGTCTTTGCTCTCTAAAACATCAACTTAAGAAAGAAGCCTCACTGCTCTCCAGCTGCCTGACATGGGGCAAATTGCCTAGCTTCCTGGGGCCTCAGTCTCCTTATCTGTAAAATGTGTGCTAATTACTTCAGCATGGCTGGAAGGCAACTCCTCCACTCCCTTCTCCTGCTTCTCCCCCTTCTCCCCTCCTCCTCCTCCTCTCTCTCCTCCCCCTCCCCCTCTCTCTCCTCCCCCTCCCCCCTCCCCCTCGCCTTCCTCCTCTCCCTGCTCCCCCCTCCCCCTTCCCCCCTCCTTCTCTTTCTCCCTCTCCTTCTCCTCTTCCTCCTTCCCCTCCCCCTCCTCCTCCTTTTCTTTTGAGGTAGGGTTGCCCAGGCTGGAGTGCAGTGGTGCAATCCCTACTCACTGCATCCTCAGCCTCCTGGATTCAAGCAATCCTCCCACCTCAGCATCCCGAGTAGCTGGGACTACAGGTGTGCACTACCACACCTGGCTTTTTGTTTTGTTTTTTTTGTTTGTAGGGACAGAGTCTCACTATGTTGCCCAGGCTAGTCTCAAACTCCTGGCCTCAAGAAATCCTCCTACCTCAGCTTCCTGAAGTGCTGGGATTACAGGCATGAGCCACCACTCCTGGCCCAGCTACAAACCTTCTATGAGAGGACAAAGAGCACATTGAACAGTGTCTGGAAACAAATGCCCAGGGAATAAATAACTAGATCCCACTCCTCCCTTTGCCTCTGACACCCTTGGTTTCAGCTCTCTACAAAGGCAGGATCTAGAAAATGGGCACACATTAAGGCCCAATTAATGGCAGACTATGAGATTTCAGAAGAAAATGCACCTTAGGCCCTTGGTAAGTAAGTGTGCAGTAAATGTCCACTCCACACAGGCAGGGATTTTTGTCTGTCATGCTCACTGCTGTGTCCCCAGCATGCTAAGTAGGGGCCAGGCTCATAGTAAACGCTTAATGAATCTTTGCTGGATAAATGTATATTATCTGCTGGACGAAGTGGCTTATGCCTGTAATCCCAGCACTTTGGGAGGCTGAAGTGGGTGGATCACTTGAGGTCTGGAGTTCAAGACCAGCCTGGCCAACATGGTGAAATTCCGCCTCTACTAAAAATTTAAAAACTTAGCTGGATGTGGATGATGCACACCTGTAATCCTAATTACTCAGGAGGCTGAGGCGGGAGAATGGCTTGAACCTGAGAGGCGAATGTTGCGGTGAACCAAGAGCGCACCGCTGCACTCCAACCTGGGCAACAGAGTGAGATGTCTCAAAAAAAAAAGTGGCTGAGCACAGTGGCTCACACCCATAATCTCAGCACTTTGGGAAGCGGGTGGATCATGAGGTCAGGAATTTGAGACCAGCCTGACCAACATGGTGAAATCCTGTCTCTACTAAAAATACAAAAATTAGCCTGACGTGGTGGGCGCACACCTGTGATCCCAGCTACTCAGCAGGTTGAAGCAGGAGAATCGCTTGAACCTGGGAGGTAGAGATTGCAGTGAGCCAAGATTGCACCACTGCACTCCAGCCTGGGCGACAAAGCAAGACTCCATCTTAAAAAAAAAAAAGGATATTATCATTTAGTAGGGGGATCAGGAACCCTTCAACAGGCAAAATTTCCCAAGCTGCTGAATTGACAGCACTGCTGGGGGTAGATTCAAACAGACTCATCATCAAGCCCAGCTGCCTCTTAGAGGCAGACACCACAAAGCCATCTCAACATTGTATTTAATAAGCCCACTAAACAGTGAGAATTATTTGAGGACAGAGAAAGCCTTTTTCCAGGAATGCTTCAAGCATGATGTGTTTTCTTCCCTGGTTTAATATGTATAATTTGCCTTCTGGAAAAGGAACCCAGAGACTCTGGCATGACTTAGGAAACAATAGACAATGCTCACAATTTACTAAGCAGAATTGCCTCCTGCAAGGATGGAGAGATCCAAGTAGTGCAAGGACTCCAACCCTGCGGAGAGGACTTTGACCAGTGGATTTCTCAGGAGGTTCCGTTATGGTGAAGTCTGAGGCCAGATGGTCAAATGCCACATGGCTGCTCACGCCTGGAATTGGGAAATAGGAAAAAATGCCAGCACTGCCCCTCTTTGGGCAGTTGCCCTGTTTTGCCAATTTCACAAGGGCAAAAGTAGGGAAAATCCATCCAGGCTAGGGTAGAAAGATGTTTGCCCCGCCTCCTGTCAGCCAATCACAGCCAAGCCCTGAGTTGTGTCCTGGGTGTGCAAAGTTCTTGCTGGGTGAGGGGAGGGCTTTAGGATAAGACCTTCATGGCCAGCCATGGTGGCTCACACCTGTAATCCCAGAATTTTAGGAGGCCGAGGCGGGCGGATCACTTGAGGTCAGGAGTTCAAGACCAGCCTGGCCAACATGGTGAAAGCCCGTCTCTATTAAAAATACAAAAATTAGTCAGGTGTGCTGGCGCACACATGTAATCTCAGCCACTCGGGAGGCTGAGGCATGAGACTCACTTGAACCCAGGAGGCAGAGGTTGCAGTGAGCTGAAATTGCGCCATTGCATTCCAGCCTGGATGACAGAGCCAGACTCCATCTCAAAAAAAAGGATTAGACCCTCATGGCTCATGGGGCAGGCAATTCTCCTACCACTCTGGCCCCTGAGGAAGGACTGGGGTATTTCTCAATGCATCTGACCCAAGCCTCTTTTGGAGGCTTGGCTGGGAAGTGAGAAACACCCCCGACTCCACCCCTTTGGATTTACAGGAATTCTCACCCCATGCTTGTTTATTTATTTATTTTTAATTTAATTTAATTTAATTTAATTTATTATTTTATTTTATTATTATTTTTTTTAGAGACGGGGTTTCCCCATGTTGGCCAGGATGGTCTCGATCTCCTGACCTCGTGATCTGCCCGCCTCGGCCTCCCAAAGTGCTGGGATTACAGGCATGAGCCACCGCGCCCAGCCCCCACACTTGTTTAGATATTAACTCAGCCACAACAAGCCAAGGCAAACAGGCCAGGGCCAGGGCAGGCGAGAGGACAGACATCTGCAGCCTGTGGCCACCCATCACCCCGCCAGCTGCCATGGACGTGCCCTGGCCCCTGGGGTGGATTCTACTTCTCTTGGGAAGCCCCCTTACCCAAGCTGAGCCTCTGTGAGTCTGGGGAATGGAGGGAGCTCAGCCGGCTTCCTGCACATCCGATGTCTGTGATTCCAGCTTGTAACTCCTGTTCCGTGTCACTTTCCCTACTCAAGTCCCTTACTGCCACTGTGTTTATCTACCGGCAGGTACATCCTGGTGACCCCCCCAAGTCCTGAGGGTCGGCAGCCCGGAGAACATCCACACTCAGGCCCATTCGGACTCCAGGCAGCCCCTCACGAGGACGCTTGAGGTGAACCTCACAGTGTAGGACTTCCCCAAGAAGAAGACGGTGTTGGCAAGGAGCCAGCTCATTCTCTCTCCAGGGAGCAATTTTATGGGCCAGGCACCTGTGACGGTATGTGACAGCCTGGGATGGGTGACCACAAAGGGAGGCTCTGGGTCAGCAATAAAGGCAGAAAGGGGCAGACTCTGGGTCTGGAGAGTAGATGCAGGCCCCAAAGCACTTACCGCTCCTCTCACGCCCTGTCCATTTGGAAGTCGAATGTCCTTAAGCCTGGGATACAAGAGCCCTCCATTAGCCCACTTGATGCCTCTGCATGAATTATAAAAGGTGCCTTCTGTCGGTAGCTTGGGAAGCTGAGCATGGACTGGATTCTGTCCTTCCCTTGGCTGGGTGCTCTTGTGTAGTGAGTAACCTGCACAACTGCACATGGCAACATAGCTCCCAAAGACAGAGCCAGAAGACCTTCAGTCAATTGCTCCTTCCAGGATCTGTCCCAGGGCATTACCCCCAGCCAGGGAGACCCCAGCAGAGCCTGAGGAGTATGGGTACCTCTCTCTCTCTCTCTCTCTCGTTCCTGAGAGCCTGGTATACCCCCCACAACCAGAGCAGCAATATATCATCATCCGGGCAACTCAGGCACCCACTTCTGTCTCCTCATTCATGGAGAAGATGGTGCTGGTGGCTCCTCATGCAGGCGACATCTTCGTCCAGACAGACAAGACCATCTACACCCTGAGCACTTGGGTACAGCCCTGAGGCCCTTGGCCTGGGGTGGTCACTGGCTCTCATCCCTAGTCTCTCCCAATGTCTGAGATACTTATGTCCCCTAAAACCTTCTCCACCTCCCAAGATTTCTCTCTGCATAAATGGTCCCCCCACAGCCCAAGATCCAAACTCTCTCTCTCCCACTCTCCCTCCTCTACCCAATACTCAGAGTCCTCCTTCTCCCCCAGTTCAGTACCCGGTGTTCACTGTGAACCACAGGATGGACCCTGTGACCAGGATATTTACTCTGGACATCAAGGTGGTCTTTCCTGATAGGGGGTGAATCTGGGACGCGGGTTACACGATGTGCTGAAGTCCCCCAGGGCTGTCCCAGAGGGCAGTCACCAGCGCCAGCCCCTGTCCCCACAGAACCCCAATGGAATCACTGTGACTAGCCAGGGTGTGTTGGCCAAGGATGGCTTTTACAGCTCCTTCACCTCCCAGAGCTTGTCAGGTGCCCTTGTCAGGTCTGGGAGCCCGAGAGGTCTCAAGGGAAGCTGTCATTCTCCATCTCCATCTCTCTTTTTTTTTTTTTTTTTTTTTTGAGACGGAGTTTCGCTCTTGTTACCCAGGCTGGAGTGCAATGGCGCGATCTCGGTTCACCGCAACCTCCGCCTCCTGGGTTCAGGCAATTCTCCTGCCTCAGCCTCCTGAGTAGCTGGGACTACAGGCACGCGCCACCATGCCCAGCTAATTTTTTGTATTTTTAGTAGAGACGGGGTTTCACCATGTTGACCAGGATGGTCTCGATCTCTTGACCTCGTGATCCACCCGCCTCGGCCTCCCACAGTGCTGGGATTACAGGCTTGAGCCACCGCGCCCGGCCTTTTTTTTGTGTGTTTTTTTTTTTTTTTTTTTTGAGGGGGAAAATATCTTAATGGGTTCCCTAAAAAGACGACAACCCTCTAGTGTTGCTGTCACTAATGAGATGACCTGATGATTCTCAATAGTGACCATAACCCCTGCATGGTGACCCCCGACCCAGAGACTCTGTCCATGCAGCACAAACTCAGTGATGCCCCCTCACTCCCAGCAGCATCTCCCACTACCCCATCTCCGTGAACATGCTGGATTCCATCACCACATGACAGTTTGTGGCGGTCAGCCTCAAGGCTGGTCAAGGTGATCCCCAGCAAGCCCAGTGCTAAGAGAATGTGGGTATGGAGACCCTACCCAGCCCCTCTCCCCAACCCAGCCCCTGCTTAAACCCAGTGTGCTCTCCTGGCTGTAGGTCCCTGTGTCTCAGACCCCTCTGAGCTGACACTTATGAAATCCTTCTTTGCGGACCTTAAGTTGCCCCACTCGGTGATCAGGAACGAACAGGTGCAGATCCAAGCCATGTTGCACAATTTCAGGAATCGTCAGGCCAAGGTGAAGCCCCTGAGCCCTCAACTTCCTGCCAAAATCTCTGCTAGTGTGTATTTTATTTTATGCTTAAATTATTTTTATTTGTTTATTGAGATGGAGTCTTGCTCTGTTGCCCAGGCTGGAATGTAGTGGTGTGATCTCGGCTCACTGCAACCTCCACCTCCAGGGTTCAAGTGATTCTCCTACCTCAGCCTTCCAAGTAGCTGGAACTACAGGCATGCACCACCCCACCATGCCCCGTTAATTTTTGTATTTTTAGTAGAGACAGGGTTTCACCATGTCGGCCAGGCTGGTCTCGAACCCCTGACCTCAAGTGATCTGCCCGCCTCAGCCTCCCAAAGTGCTGGGATTACAGGGTAAGCCACTGTGCCCAGCCTATTTTATTTATTTATTTATTGAGATGGAGTTTTCTCTGTTACCCAGGCTGGAGTGCAGTGGTGTGATCTCAGTTCACTGCAACCTCCGTCTCCCGGGTTCAAGCAATTCTCCTACCTCAACCTCCTGAGTAGCTGGGACTACAGGCGCCCGCCGCCACACCTGGCTAATTTTTGTATTTTTAGTAGAGACAGGGTTTTGCCATGTTGGTCAGGCTGATCTCAAACTCCTGACCTCAAGTGATCCACCCGCCTCGGCCTCCCAAAGTGCTGGGATTACAGGTGTGAACCACTGCACCTAGCCTATTTTATTTTATTTTTGGAAACAGTCTCACTCTGTTGCCCAGGCTAGAGTGCAGTGGCGCGATCCCAGCTCACCGCAACCTCACCTCACAGGTTCAAGTGATTCTCGTGCCTCAGCTTCCCCAGTAGCTGGGGTCACAGATGTGTGCCACCATGCCTGGCTAATTTTTAGTATTTTGAGCAGACAGAATTTTGCTGGTTGCCCAGGGTGGTCTCAAACTCCTGAGCTCAGGCAATCCGCCCTCCTTGGCCTCCCAAAGTGTTAGGATTACAGGCGGGAGCCACCATGCCCAGCCTGTTAGTGTGTTTTAGAAAAGGAAATTGGGTGTATTTATTATTCCCATGGGTCAGTGAAGTGGAGGCTGTTCTGGAAAATCTAAGGTACTCTCTTATTTAGCCAGGCATATTGGCACACACCTGTATTTCAGCTGCTTGAGAGGCTGAGATAGGGGATGGCTTGAACCCAGGAGACTAAGGTTGCAGTGAGCTGTGATTGCACCACTGCACTCCAGCCTGGGTGACAGAGTGAGACCTTGTCTCTACAAAAAGTAATTTTAAGAAGGTTAGTTAGCCAGTCTTGGTGGCATGCACCTGTGGTCCCAGCTACTCAGGAAGCTAAAGCAGGAGAGTCGCTTGAGCCCAGGAGTTCCAGGCTGCACTGAGTCGTATTTGTGCCACTCCACTCCAATCTGGGTGACACAGCAAGACAAAGAAAGAGGAAGGAAGGGAGGAAGGGAGGAAGGGAGGGAGGGAGGGAGGAAGGGAGGAAGGGAGGGAGGGAGGGAGGGAGGGAGAAAGGGAGGGAGGGAGGGAGGAAGGAAGGAAGGGAGGAAGGAATTAATTTAAACCTTACAACAACCCCATCAGATGGGTAGTATTATTGCTTTTGGTTTACAGATAAGGAAATTGAAGCACAGAGAGGTTAAAGGGCTTGCCTGGAGTCACACAGCACATAAATGGCAGATGGGGCTCTGACTCAGGCTGGGTCTGTGGTCCCCATCACTAGGCTTCACTGTCACTTACTTGGGCATCTCAGGGAAGGGAGGGGACTGTGACACTAGGGTCCTGGACCATGCCATGCATCGATACCCCCTCCCTTTGCCCATCCTGCCCTAGGTCCAAGTGGAGTTCCCCACAAAGAGCCGCTGTGCAGCGTGTCAAAGCCAGGAGCACCATCCTGCCAGGTGGTGGTCATGCCCCCCCACCTCCTCCAAGATGGTACCCTTTGTGCTTCTCCCACTGGAGATAGGCAAAGTGGACATGGAGGTCAAGGCTGTGGGCTATGGGATCCAGGACCACGTGAAGAAGACACTCTTGGTCCGGGTAATGGGCACCCCTAGCTCCCTAGCTGCTGGTGCAGACAGCAGGGCTTCCACCAGGTCCAGGCTGTGTGATCGTGGATGGGGCAGGTGGGCCCAGGATTGATAAACAGGGCTCCTAGATGGGAGTGAGGTGAGAGAGAACAGATCTGAAAGTTCAGTCGGTCAGCCAAGCACGGTGGTTTACACCAGTAATCTCGGTAGTTTGGGAGACTGAGGCGGGTGGATCATCTGAGGTCAGGAGTTTGAGACCAGCCTGGCCAACATGGTGAAACCCCATCTCTACTAAAAATACAAAATTAACTGGGCATGGAGGTGCACACCTGTAGTCCCAGCTATTCGGGAAGCTGAGGCAGGAGAATCACTTGAACCTGGGAAGTGGAGGATGCAGTGAGCCAAGATGTCACCACTGCACTCCAGCCTGGGTGACAGAGTGAGGCTCCGTCTTAAAAACAAAACAAAACAAAACAAAAAAAAAAACAAAGAAAAAGAAAAAAGTTTAGTCAGTGGACTGATGTGAGGGGCTCACAAGACCCCACTTCAAAGGAGTCAGGCTTGGGATCAAATCTTGTCTGTGCTTTGTGACCTTGGGCAACTTACTTAACTTCTCTGTTCTGAGCCTCCATTTCTTTGTTTGCAGGATGAGGATAATTATCATACCCACGAATAATCAGAGAGTTGCAAAAATGACCAATAACCAGTGGTGGCTCATGCCTGTAATCCCAGCACTTTGGGGGGCCACGGCGGGTGAATCATGAGATCAGGAGTTCAAGACCAGCCTGGCCAACATACTGAAACCCCATCTCTACTAAAAATACAAAAAATTAGCTGCGTATGGTGGTGGGTGCCCATAACCTCAGCTACTTGGGAGGCTGAGGCAGGACAATCTCATTTAAACCTGGGAGGCGGAGGTTGCAGTGGGCCAAGATTGCACCACTGCACTCCAGCCTGGGTGACAGTGCAGGACTCTGTCTAATTAAAAAAAAAATTAGTCTGGTGTGGTGGTATGCACCTGTAGTCCCAGTTACTCAAAAAGCCGAAAGGGGATTGCTTGAGCCCATAAAATTGAGCCTGAAGCTGAGATCATGCCACTGCACTCCAGCCTGGGTGACAGAGCAAAAAACAAACAAATGAACAAAAAACTTTATTTACTTTACAAACACATGTTTAACGCTTAAGATATAGGTGCTTAAGAATATTAACTCAGTCAGCTGTAGTGGCACCCTCCTGTATTCCCAGCTATTTGGGAGGCTGAAGTGGAAGGATCATTTGAGCATAGAAATTTGAGTCTAGCCTGGACAACCTAGAGAGAATCCTTCTCTGGAAGAAAACAAAAAACAAACAAAAAAAAACATTAACTGAGCCAGCCATGGTGGTTCATGCCTGTAGTCCCAGCACTTTGGGAGGCCGAAGTAGGTGAATCGCTTCAGGCCAAGAGTTCAAGATCAGCCTGGCCAACATAGCTTAACCCCATCTCTACTAAAAATACAAAAATTAGCCTGGTGTGGTGGTATGCACCTGTAATCCCAGCTACTCAGGAGGCTGGGGCACAAGAATCACTTGAACCCGGGATATTTTGAGAACTTGTCTCAAAAAAAAATTAACTAATTCAGTCTTCCAAACAACCCTATGAGGTAGGGACATTTATTATCCCCCTTTTACAGATGAGAAAACTGAGGCAGAGAGAGGGTAATTTTCCCAATGACACACAGCTAGGAAGCAGAAGAGCTGGGATTTGAACCCAGGCATTTGGGCTCCAGAGTCTGTGCTTATCATAGTGCAGCAATGCCTCCTCTCACCGTCACTGCGATTGTCATAATTACTGTGGTTGCTGTTTTTACTTTTGACTTATATCCTCCTCTCGTCCCTCAGGCAGGAGGTCAGATTCAGCAAATGTCCCGTAGCATCCTCCTGAACCCCTAAGGTTTGTGAGCTCTGCAGGGGACATGTGAGATCCTGGGGCCATGCTGGGATGGAGGAGGGAGTGGGCATGAGGGGGTGTGCCCAGGTGGGAATCCCCAGCCCCAGAGCCTACTTGTCACAGAAGGTTATGCTTCTTCAGGTCGGACCCAGACAGAACTGGTGCCAAGACAGGAGTTCTTGAACATGGTACCCGACACGCAGGCAGAAGTGTTTATCAGCGTTCAAGGTGCTGGGGGACACAGGGATGTGGGGAGGGCTGGCGCTGGGTCCTCTAAGGTCCACGAGGCATCAGGGCCAGAGGAACTGGGGGTGGCCATGTGGGGTGATCAGTGAACCGTGGTGGCGTAGGCAGAGGCCACTCCCAGGGTCACCCAACTCTCCCACCTGACAGGTGACATCCTTGGTGAGATGATTGTTGGCAGCCTGACACCCAAAGAGTTGCAGCAGCTGCTGCGGGTCCCCACAGGCTGCCCCAGGTCCCCAAGGGCTGCCCAGAGCAGACACTGAGCTCCCTGATGCCTGTCGCCATCCTGACCTGCTATTCGGATGCCACCGGCCAGTGGGGCAAGGTCGGGGTGGAGCACAGGGACCAGGTGATGAAGAATATTGTCAGTGGTGAGAGCAGGAACCTTCCCAGGGCCTCCATGGGGGTGCCTGGGGCTCTCCTGGAGGGTGGCTGGGGCACCCCCAAGATTGGGGAAATCTTTGTGGGACGACCCCCAGCCTCAGGCACTAACACCCACACTGTGACTCCTCCTCCAGACTACAACTTGATACTAAATTCCCCAAGGTCATCCTGTGACTGTGACTTCCCAGGCTTCAATTTTTTTTTTTTTTTTTGCAGTGAAGTCTCACTCTGTCACCTAGGCTGGGGTGCAGTGGCGAGATCTCAGCTTACTGCAACCTCCACCTCCCAGGTTCAAGCCATTCTCCTGCCTCAGCCTCCTGAATACCTGGGATTACAGATGCCTGCCACCATGCCCATTAATTTTTGCATTTTAATTAATTAATTTATTTATTTTGAGATACAGTCTCACTCTGTCACCCAGACTGGAGTGCAATGGTGCGATTTCGGCTCTCTTAAACCTCTGCCTCCTGAGTTTGATCGATTCTCCTGCCTTGGCCTCCTGCAGAGCTGGAATTACAGGTGCCAGCCATCACAGCTGGCTCATTTTTGGATTTTTTGTAGAGATGGGGTTTTGCCATCTTGGTTAGGCTGCTCTTGAACTCCTGACCTCAGGTGATCCACCTGCCTTGGCTTCCCAAAGTGCTGGAATTACAGATATGAGCCACTGCACACAGCCTCCAGGCTTCAATCTTGTGACAGACACCCTGATTTTTCCCAAAAAGCCATCCTGCCAGAGGATGTTATACTCGGACCCTGCTCCAGGTTACATTCCCTCCGTGCCACTCCCAGGGAATCTCGGGGAACACCCAGGCAGCAAACCCCAGAATAACCCCAGGGAGTGGCCTCTTGGTTGCACCTGGATGCTGACACCTCCCAGGTTACAACCAAACACCCCAGGGAGCAACCAGAGAGGAACACCCCTGGTAACACCCACAGACCTCTGAGCTAATTGGTCCCAGGTTACCCTCAGACTCCAGCTTTTCCTCCAGGTCTTCTCAAGCAGTGACTCCTCAGGGAACATCCAGATACTGTCACCCCGTTGCTCCAAACAAACAGTAAACCGCTGGGTGTGGTGGCTCATACCTGTAATCCCAGCACTTTGGGAGGCCGAGGTGGGGAGATCACGAGGTCAGGAGATCAAGACATCCTGCTCAACATGGTGAAATCCCGTCTCTGCTAAAAACACATAAAAAGTTAGCCAGGCGTGGTGGTGTGTGCCTATAATCCCAGCTACTTGGGAGGCTGAGTGAGGCAGGGGAATCGCTTGAACCCGGGAGTCAGAGGTTGCAGTGAGCCGAGATTGCACCACTACACTCCAGCCTGATGATGGAGCAAGACTCCATCTCAAAAACAAAAACAAAAACAGTAAACCTCCAGGGGAACTTCAGGTAATACCCAAGTAGCAAGGCTGAGAATGCATCTGAAAGGCTGGGCGCAGTGGCTCATACCTGTAATCCCAGCATTTTGGGAGGCCAAGGCAGGAGGATCGCTTGAGCCTAGGAGTTTGAGACCAGCCTCGGCAACATAGTGAGACCCCATCTGTACAAAACATTTAAAAATTGGCCAGTTGTGGTTAGTGCTGCAGTCTCGGCTACTCAGGAGGCTGAGTGGAAGGATTGCTCAGCCCAGGAGTTTGAGACTAGCTTGGGCAACATAGTGAGACCTCGTCTCTAAAAAGTTAGCATGGTGTGGTGGCCTGCACCTGCAGTCCCAGCTACTTGGGAGACTGAGGTGGGAGGATAGCTTGATCCGGGAAGGTTGAGGCTGCAGTGAGCTATGATTGTACCACTACACTCCAGCCTGGGTGACAGAATGAGTCCTGGTCTCAAAAAAATAAAAATAAATAAAAAGAGGGCCAGCCATGGTGGCTTATACCTGTAATCCCAGCACTTTGGGAGACTGAGGCAGGTAGATCACCTGAGGTCAGGAGTTTGAGACCAGCCTGGTCAACAAAGTGAAACCCTGCCTCTACTAAAAATACAAAAATTAGCCGGGCACGGTGGTGTGCATCTCTAGTCCCAACTACTCAGGAGGCTGAGGCAGGAGAATCTCTTGAACCTGGGAGGCAGAGGTTGCAGTGAGCTGAGATCGCGCCACTGCATTCCAGCCTGGGTGACAGAGCCAGACTCCATCTCAAAAAAATAAAAAATAGAAAATAAAAAAATAAGGAGTACACCGGTGAGGTACTCATCTAAGATTACACCCCAAAGTAACCTTCCCTGGGTGACACCGACATACTGACACCCCAGGTTTACATCCAAGATATGACTCCGAAGAAAACTTCCCGAAGTCCTAGGCATGGTGGTTCACATCTGTAATCCCAGCACTTTGGGAGGTTGAGAAGGGTGGATCACCTGAGGTCAGGAGATGGAGACCTGGTCAACATGGTGAAACCCTGTCTCTACTAAAAATACAAAAAAAAAAAATTAGCTGGGCGTGGTGGCAGGTGCCTGTAATCCCAGATGCTTGGGAGGCTGAGGCAGGAGAATTGCTTGAATCTGGGAGATGGAGGTTACAGGGAGCCAAGATCACACCACTTCACTCCAGCCTGGGCAACAGAGGAAAACTCTGCCTCAAAAAAAAAAAAAAAAAAAAAAAAAAATCCTCTTCCCAAGCTGTGTATAAGATGGGCAAAAATTTTAAAAATTAAAAAAATTAAAAATAAAGAAAAGGGCCAGGCACAGTGGCTCACGCCTGTAATCCAAGCACTTTGGAGGCCAAGGCAGGCAGATCGCCTGAGGTTGGGAGTTCAAGACCAACCTCACCTGACCAACATAGTGAAACCCCGTCTTTTTAAAAAAAAAAATAAAATAAAATAAAGAAAAGGAAAGAAAAGAAAAAGGAAAACTCCCAGGTAGTGCCCCTCCCAGGTTGCATGTGGACAACACCTTCTATGATTTCTTCCAGCAGCAACCCCAAGGCTGGCATGCCCTGCCCCAGAGTCCCCGAGGTGAAGGTTATCTGGGTTATACCCAGAGACAACTGCCTCCTGGGTCCCTCAAAGTCATTCCTGAGCCCTGCCCTTCACTTACACCTGGGCCCTAAACCCCCCTCCAGAGTACACCTGGACAATAGGTCGCCCCTTCTAGATGACCTCCAGATGTGACACCCCCATGCCACCTCCAGTCCCTGCCCACCAGGTTCTACCTGTAACACTGATTGTCCCTCCAAGCCCTGCTCTGTTTCCCCAGGGTACACCCAGCTGCTGACCCACCGGAGTTCAGACGGCACCTACCACACCTCCAAGGGGAACCCAGGAAGCACCTGGTGAGGATGACCCTGTCTCTCCTGCCACTGCCACCCTCGAAGCCCAAGGGGCCAGCCTGGGGCCTGATGTCCCAGGAGCATCCACGCTGCAGAGTATTGGGGTCTTAGGGTGTCCAGTGCGTAGGCCTGGGGCATTCTGCACTGGCAGACCTGGGCAGCGGTGAACAGCAGTGTCCACCTGGGAGGGTATGCATGGCCCATGGTGTAGACTCCCCTGTCCCAGAGCCCCCTTGGCTGCCGTTCACAGGTGACACCCTCGCTCTCTCCTGACAGGCTTACAAACTGTGTGTTTCGCATCTTTGCCCCGGCCTACCCTACGATGATGACCAGTGTGCTTGACCTGCCCTCTCTCTGTGCCATGGCCAACTGGATCATCATCAACAGGCAGGCGGAGGACGGGCACCTCCTGGAGAAGGGACCTGTGGTCATGACATCCATGCAGGTGGTCACAGCCCTCCCTGCCCAGGCCATTCAAACCCATCCGCAGGGCTCTGTGCACTAAGAGGGGGATTTCAGGCTCCCAATCTGTTCTTGGGCAGATGAGAACAGGAAAGAGCCAAGGTTCAGCGCCAAGGATCACACCCGCCCTGGTCTGAACCACTTTGTGCTCTGGTAGAATGTGGGTGAGGCTGGGCACATCTGGGAACCCGTCTCTTCCTCATCCCCACATCAAGCAGTGGCCTGCCCTGGCCCTCCTCCCTTGGAGACTGTGTCCTCCCCAGCTTGCACAGCCAACTCCACCAAGAGTCCCTTTACACCAGCATCCAGATAAATCTTTCAAACGCAGTCTGGCAGGTCTCTCTCTTGCTCAAACACTTGCTGTGGCTCACAGCTACCTTTATCTATATCTCCTCCTAGGCCTCACCTCACCACTCCCTGCTCACTATGCACACTTAACCATTCATGGGCTCTTCCAACTCTCCCCCAGAAAGGGCTTTTGCTGTCCTCTCTGCATGCATCAGGCCAAATTATTATTATTATTAATTATTTTGAGAAAGAGTTCCACTCTGTTACCCAGGCTGCAATGCAGTGGCATGATCTTAACTCACTGCAACCTCCAACTCCCGGGTTCAAGTGATTCTTATGCCTCGGCCACCCTGAGATTACAGGCATGTACCACTGCACCCAGCTAATTTTTACATTTTTGTTTTAGTAGACATGGGTTTTCGCCATGTTGTCCAGGCTGGTCTCAAACTCCTGGCCACAAGTGATCTGCCTGCCTCAGCCTCCCAAAGTTCTGGCATTACAGACATGAGCCACAGTGCCCAGCTATTATTATTATTTTTAGAGACAGGATCTTGTTCTGTCACCCAGGCTGGAATGCAGTGGCACAATCATAGCTCACGACAGCATCAAACTTCTGAGCTCAAGAGATCCTCCTGCCTCAGCCACCTCAGTGGTTGGGACTACAGGTGCACACCACCATTCCTGGCTAATTTTTTTTTTTTTTTTTTTTGAGTTGAAGTCTCGCTCTTTTGCCCAGGCTGGAGTAGTGGGATCTCAGCTCACTGCAGCTTCTGCCTCCCAGGTTCAAGCGATTTTCCTGCCTCAGCTTCCTGAGTAGCTGGGACTACAGATGCCCACCACTATACCTGCTAATTTTTGTAGTTTTAGTAGAGACAGGGTTTCTCCATGTGGGCCAGGCTGGTCTCAAACTCCTGACCTCAGGTGATCCACCTACCTCAGCCTCCCAAAGTGCTGTGATTACAGGCATGAGCCATCACCCCTGGCCCTGACATGACCTTCTTATAAGGGCACCTGTCATTAGACAAGGTCTACTCTAATCCAGTATGACCTCTTCTTAATTTTAATCACATCCTCAAAGACCTGATTTCCAAAGAAGATCACATCTTGAGGTCCTGCGTGAACATGAATTTTGGGGGACACTATTCAAGTCTGGACAGGAGGTGAGGGTGGAAGCTGGGGTACTAAAGAGATGTTTGAACACTGAGTTGTCCATTTCCTAGAAATGGGAAGTCTTTGCCATTCTGACCCTGTTTTCTCATCAGGAAAATGGGGCTGCTGCCAGAATGCTCTGAGATGGTGTACAGAGCTGAGCCTCTCGGGTTCATAGCTTTTTGTTTGTTTCTTTGTTTTGTTTTGTTTTTAGAGATGGGGTTTTACCATGTTGGTCGGGTTGGTCTCAAACTCCCGACTTCAGGTGATCCACCCGTCTCGGCCTCCCAAAGTGCTGGGATTACAAGCATGAGCCAGCACGCCCAGCCTTGTTTTGTTTTTGAGACAGAGTTTCGCTCCGTCATCTAGAGTGCAATGGCATGATCTCGGCTCACTGCAACTTCTACCTCCCGGGTTCAAGCAATTCTCCTGCCTCAGCCTCCCCAGCAACTGGGCTTCCAGGCACCCACCATCATGACCAACTAATTTTTATATTTTTATAGGGACAGAGTTTCACCATGTTGGCCAGGCTGGTCTCAAACTCCTGACCTCAGGTGATCCCATTGCTGCGGCCTCCCAAAGTGCTGGGATTGCAGATGTGAGCCACCACGCCTGGCTGATGGCTTTTGTTAGTAGGGCAGACCCCAGGGAGGGAAACCTCTCCTCTCTGTCTTCATCCCACCTCCACCATTATCCAGCCCAGAACTGGGTACCTGGAAGCTTCTCAGGCTCAGACAGGAGAGGCTGAAGAGGGCATCTCCAAGATGCTGAGGGGATCACATGGGGGACTCTGCATCATCCACAGGGTGGCTACCAAGGCTCCGAGGTGAACATATCCCTCACAGCTCTTGTCTTGATAGCCCTGGATGAGGGAAAGGAGTTGTACAGCCAGGAGATACCGGTAGGATCCTGGAGAGGAGGGCAGGATCTGTGGGGTCCTCCAGCCCCAGCACCTGGAAGGCTCTTCCACCCTCACATCCCTCTGGGTCCCTCTAATGCCCAGACTTCTTTTCTCTGGTGATCTCCCTCTGGCCTCCTCCCTCTGACCCTCTAGAATTTGATGACCAGCATCGAGCAAGCCTGTGGCTTCCTGGAGAGAAAACTCCCCGACAACATTTGCCAGACAACATTTGCCATAGCCACAGTATCCTACGCACTGGCCCTTGCCAACAGCCCCCGGGCCAACGACCACCTGGACAGCTTTGCCAGCCATGGTGGGTGTGGGCCCTTCTTAGTCAACCTCAGTCGTGGAGTGGGGAGGGGGTGATCTTAAACCCAGCAAGGTGTCACTCATCACTTAATGTTTCCTGAGCATCCACTGTGTGTCAACTCTTGAGCTCAGACCCTGTGAGACCAAGGTAAGCAACACTGATAAGGTCCCCGCCCTCAACGATCCTACAGTCCTTGGGAGAGACAATCAGAAGACAGGCAGGTCACTATATAATTCCAAACTGAATCCAGGAGCAGTGGCTAATGTTTGTAATCCCAGAACTTTGGGAAGACGAGGCAGGAGGATCACCTGAGGTCAGGACTTTGAGACCAGCCTGGTCAACATGGTGAAACCCCGTCTCTACTAAAAATATAAAAATTAGCCAGGTGTGGTGGCAGTTGCCTGTAATCCCAGCTATTCGGGAGGCTGAGGCAGGAGAATCACTTGAACCCAAGAGGCAGAGATTGCCGTGAGCTGAGATTGCACCACTGCACTCCAGCCTGGATGACAGCAGGAGACTGTCTCAAAATAATGATGACAATAATAATAATAATAATAATTCCAAACTGAGACAAGCACTGAGATGATAACACACAAGGTGGGTAGGAGAGATAGCAACGGGAGGGGAGTACAGATTGGGGGGCCGAGATGAAAGACAGAAAGACATACCTGCTAGGTATGGTGGCTCATGTCTGTAATCCCAGCCACTTGGGAGGCTGAGACAGGAGGATTGCTTGAGGCCAGGAGTTTGTGACCAAACTGAGCAACAGAGTGAGACCCCATCTCTAAACAAAAAAAAAGTTTGTGATTGGCTGGCTGTGGTGGTATACACCTGTAGTCCCAGCTACTAGGGAGGCTGAGGCAGGAGGATCACTTGAGTCCAGAAGGTCAAGGCTGCAGTGAGCTGTGATCACCCCACTGCACTCAAGCCTGGGCAACAGAGCAAGGCTCTGTCTCTATATAAAAATAAAAAAGGCTGGGCATGGTGGCTCATGCCTGTAATCCCTGCACTTTGGGAGACCAAGGCCGGTAGCTCACAAGGTCAGGAGTTCGAGACCAGCCTGACCAACATGGTGAAACCCCATCTCTACTAAAAGTATAAAAATTAGCCAGGCATCGTGGTGCACGCCTGTTATCCCAGCTACTCAGGAGGCTGAGGCAGGAGAATCACTTGAACTTGGGAGGTAGAAGTTGCAGTGAGCTGAGATCTCACCACTCTACTCCAGCCTCAGTGACAGAGTGAGACTCCTCTGTCTCAAAAAAACCTTTTTTTTTTCAAGGTACACCTTCATGAAAAACCATGAAAATTCCAATCAAAAGGAGCAGCACAAGCAAACACCCTGAGGTGGAAAGACTCCTTGGTGTTGTCAAGGATGGAGAATGTTTTTTTCGTTTTGTTTTGATTTTGATTTTTGGTTTGAGACAGAATCTCTCGCTCTGTCACCCAGGCTAGAGTGCAATGGCACGATCTCGGCTCACTGCAACCTCCACCTCCTGGGTTCAAGCAATTCTCCTGTCTCAGCCTCCTGAGTAACTGGGACTACAGGCACCCACCACCACGCCCAGCTAACTTTTTAATTTTTAGTAGAGATGGGTTTCACCATATTGGCCAGGATGGTCTCAAACTCCTGACTTTATGATCCACCTGCCTCAGCCTCCCAAAGTGCTGAGATTATGGGTGTGAGCCACTGAGCCCACCAGGATGGAGAGGTTATAAAACCTTCCCCTGGTTGATTCTACCTCACCCCCAAGATATCCCATCTGCTACATTCCACAAGTCAAGGAAAGTGGAGCTAGGTAAATTTGCTTGCAGTGGGATTGGGGGGACCTAAAGGAACTTTTACTTGTTTTTTTTTTTTTTTTTTTGAGACAAAGTCTCACTCTTGTCTCCCAGGCTGGAGTACAATGGCATGATCTTGGCTCACTGCATCCTCCACCTCCCAGGTTCAAGCGATTCTCCTGCCTCAACCTCCCGAGTAGCTGGGATTATAAGTGCTCACCACCACACCCAACTAATTTTTTTGTATTTTTAGTAGAGACCAGGTTTCACCATGTTCGCCAGGCTGGTCTGGAACTCCTGACCTCAGGTGATCCGCCTGCCTCGGCCTCCCAGAGTTCTGGGATTATAAGCATGAGTCACCACGCCCAGCCAGGAACTTTTTTTTTTTTAACTCAATTTCCCCATTGGCAAATAGAGTCCTGTCTCCTAGGGTTGTTCTGAAAATTGAATGTCCACATTTCCTCAGCAAAGAGCTTCACATAAAGTAGGTGATCAGGGCTGGGCATGGTGGTTCATGCCTATAATCTCAACACTTTGGGAGGTCAAAGTGAGAGAATGGCTTAAGGCCAGGAGTTCGAAACCAGCCTGGACAACATAATGAGAACCACCCCCACCCCCCCACAAAAATAAAAATAAAGAAGGTGATCAATAAAATGACAGATGAGAAAACTGGGCCAGATGGTACAAGGAGAGAGCAGGTTAAGGTGGGCAGGCCCAGCTCTGGGTGACAAGCCAGGCATCCCTATTTCTAGACAAAATCCATTGGCCAGTGGATGAGCAGAAGCTGGGCCACTGTACACCGTTGAGGCCACGGCCTATGCGCTCATGCAGAAGCTGGAGCTTGGCCGGCACAATGAGACACACCCCATCGCCAAGTGGCTACTAGAGAAGCAGGAGCTTGGAGAAGGCTTCGGGTCCACCCAGGTGATGGGGACCTCCGGGAGGTGAGGGCCGGGGTCGCTAGCCAAGGTGCTGACGCGCCCAGCCCAAGGTGGGAGTTGGGGGGTGGGGCTGTCCTTGGTCCTGACGCGCCGCCCAATGGCTTCTCGGGTGCTGTCTGTGGTGCTGATCCACGTAGCCCCCCACCCCCACCCCACCCCCCGCTTCCCCACCCCATTCCAACACCCAGACCACGGTGGTGGCCCTTGAAGCTCTGACTCGCTTCCGCCAAGATGTTCCCTTCGAGAGCGTCCAGGATCTCCGTGTACAGATCAGTGCCCCCAAGAGAGCCTTGAATGTGAATTGGCAGATTGATGATAACAATGCCTACCAGCAGCGGTCAGCAAAGGTATGGCACTGAGGGGCAGGCCAGAGTCCACCCAGAGTTGGCATTGGAGATGAGGCCAAGCATCATGTCCCTGCCAATCTCCCTCCCAAGATGATATCATAAGCATTGGAAATGTGGCTATACTGTCAATGTATTGATTCATTTATTCCACCAACATTTCCTGAGCATCTACTACGTACCAATGAATGTCCTAGGCATTGGGGTTATGTTATGAAAGATCTGTTGTCCCTGCTCTTATGGAATTTATGATCTAGAAGGAAATGGGCCTGGCGCTGTGGCTTATGTCTGTGATCCCAGTACTTTGAGAGGCCGAGGTGGGTGGATCACCTGAGGCCAGGAGTTCGAGATCACTCTGGTCAACATAGTGAAACTCCATGTCTACTAAAAATACAAAAATTAACCAGACATGGGCATGCCTGCAATTCCAGCTACTTGAGAGGCTGAGGCAGGAGAATCGCTTGAACCCAGGAGGCAGAGGTTGTAGTGACCTGAGGTCACCTGAGAGTGAGAATTTGTCTCAAAATATAAATAAATAAATAAATAAATAAAAAGAAATGACACCTTGGGCAACATAGCGAGACCCCATCTCTACGAAAAAAGAAGAGAAGAAGTAAAACAACCAGTCTAAGGTCATGCATTGTTTAGTGGATGTCCCGGACAAATAGTTGTCCAGATGAAGAAAGCAGAGGGAAAGGAAGACTGTTCCTCCTCCTCTTCCCCCTCCTCCTCCTCCCCCCTCCCTTTCTCCCCCTCCCCTTTCCCCTCATCCTCCTCCTCCTTCTCCTTCTTCTTCTTCTTGAGACAGAGTCTCACTCACCTACCCAGGCTGGAGTGCAGTGGCACAATCTTGCTCACTGCAACCTCCACCCTCTTGGGCTCAAGCAATTCTCCTGTGTCAGCCTCCCCAATAGCTGGGATTACAGGCATGCACCACCATGTCTGGTTACATTTTGCATTTTTAGTAGAGATGGGGTTTCACCATGATGGCCAGGCTGGTCTTGAACTCCTGGCCTCATGTGATCCACCTACCTCGGCTTCCCAAAGTTCTGGGATTACAGGCATGAACCACTGTTCCCGGCCGAGGAAAAGTGTTTCTGACATAGGGAACAGCATAGAGCGGAGACCCAGAGCCAGTCAGGCACAGGAGTAGTCAGAAGGGAGAACAGCAGATAAAGCAGGCTGTCAGGAGGCTTTCAGGCTAGCATGGCTCAGCAGTGAGGGCTGCGAGGCCATGGAAAGAATTAGGACTTGATCCTATAGGCAGTAAGATTTGAGTGACTAGCTGTGATTTTTTTTTTCTTTCTTTCCTTTTTTTTTTTTGTTTTTTTTGTTGTTGTTTTTTGTTTTTTAGAGACAGGGTCCCACTCTGTTGCCCAGGCTGGAGTGCAGTGGCACAAACATAGCTCACAGCAGCCTCGAATTCCTGGGCTCAAGCGATCCTCCTGCCTTAGCCTCCTGAGTAGCTGGGACTACAGACATGCACCACCTTGCCCGACTCAATTTTTAGTGTTTTTTGTTTGTTTTTTTGTTTGTTTGTAGCGATGGAGTCTAGATAAATTGCCCAGGCATATTTTGAACTCCTGGGCTCAAGCAGTCCTCCCCCCTTGGCCTCCTGCATTGCTGGGATTACAGACATGAGCCACTACGTTTGGTTTGGCTGTGAATTTTTAAAATTTTATTCTGGCTGATGTAAGAATAATGCAGTGAGGAAAACAAGAGTAGCTGCAGATGAAGATAGAGATTAGATTGGCGGTTGCCAGAGGATAGGAAGTGTAGGAAGAAAGGGAGGGAGGAAAAGAAGTTGATTAATGGATGCAAACATATGGTTAGATAGAAGAAATAAGACCGAGCATTTGATAGATAAATTGTAGTTTACAATAATCTACTGCATATTTCAAAATAGCTGGAAGAAAAGAATTAGAATGGTTTTAGGATAAAGAAAAGACAAATATTTAAGGTGATGGATATCTGAGGTACACTGATCTAATCTTTACACATTATATCAATGAGTTTCATTATCACATGTGCCTTGAAACTATGTACATCCATTATGCATCAAATTTTTTTTTTTTTGAGATGGAGTTTCACGCTATTGCCCAGGCTGAAGTACAATGGCACAGTCTCAACTCACTGCAGCCTCCACCTCCTGGGGTCAAGTGATTCTCCTGCCTCAGCCTCCCAAGTAGCTGGGATTTACAGGCACCTGCCACCACACCCAGCTAATTTTTGTATATTTTAGTAGAGACAGGGTTTCATCATGTTGGCCAGGCTGCTCGAACTCCTGACCTCAAGTGATCCACTCACCTCTGCCTCCCAAAGTGCTGGGATTATAGGCATGAGCCACTGCACCTGGCCCATTATGCATCAATTTGAAAAGGCAAAGAAAAATAGAGAGGTGCAGAGGTGCCAGTGAGAAGGGGCTCATGGGAGCTCCATGCACAGGGATCCTTGGAAATGCTACAAAGAGAACAGATTCCAGGGATGCACATTAGGACACAGCCTGAGCCGAGGCGGCCGGATAACCTGAGGTTGGGAGTTTGAGAGCAGGCTGGTCAACATGGTAAAATGCTGTCTCTACTAAAAATACCAAAATTAGCTGGGCATGGTGGCACATGCCTGTAATCCCAACTACTCAGGAGGCTGAGGCAGGAGAATTGCTTAAACCTGGGAGGCAGAGGCTGCAGTGAGCTGGGATTGTGCCACTGCACTCCAGCCTGGATGACAAAGCGAGATTCTTGTCTCAAAAAGAAAAAAAAAAAAAAAAAAAAAAAAAAAAAAAGGCTGGGCGCAGTGACTCGCACCTGTAATCCCAATACTTTTGGAAGTCCGAGGTGGATGGATCACTTGAGGCCAGGAGTTCAAGACCAGTCTGGGCAACATAGTTAGATCCTGTCTCCACAGAAAAATACAAAAAAAAAATTAGCTAGACGTGGTGGCGTACGCCTATAGTCCCAGCTACTTGGGAGGCCAAGACAGGAGGATTGCTTGAGCTCAGAAGGCAGAGGCTGTAGTGAGCTGAGATCACACCGCTGCACTCCAGCCTAGGCTACAGACTGAGACCCAGTCAAAAAGAAAAAAAAAAAAAATAGGCCAAATGAGCAGTTCCAGTTGATCTATGAGAGTGTAGACACCACAAATGCTTTCTGAAGAGGAAAAAGAAAAACCATCTGCATGTAGAAAGATGGAAAATGAATCACCAGGTCCCAGGTTAGGGAATAACTGAGGCCTTGGTGACTGTTCAGGCTCCACATCCCCCTGCACTTGACCCTCACTTTGCTGCCTCCTCCACCCTTAAATCTTCCTCTTTGTTCTTTTCAGTTCCTTGCCCAGGACGATCTAGAGATCAAAGCCAGTGGCAGCGGAAGAGGCACCATCTCGGTAAGTCTTGTATTCTATCATACCAGTTTGTTCTGGCCGCTACAACAAAATAGACTGGGTGGTTTATAAACAATAGAAATTGACCCAGCATGTGGCTCATGCCTGCGATTCCAGCATTTTGGGTGGTCCAGGTGGGAGAATCACTTGAGCCCAGGAGTTCAAGACCCACTGGGGCAACAGAGTGAGACTCTGTCTCTACAAAATATGGAAAAATTAGCTGGGCATGGTGGCACATGTCTATAGTCACAGCTACTCAAGAGGCTGAGGTGGCAGGATCGCTTGAGTCCAGGAGGTGGCAACTGCAGTGAGTCGTGACTAAGACCTTGCATTTTACCCTGGATAACAGAGGGAGACGAAGGAAAGAAGGAAAGAAGGAAGGAAGGAAGGAAAAGCAAGAAGGAAGGAAGAAAGAAAGGGAGGGAGGAGGGAGGGAAGAAAGGTATGAAGGAAGGAAGGAAAAAAGATAGGAAGAAAAAGAAAAAGAAAAGAAAAAAAGAAGAGGCTGGGTGCAGTGGCTCAAGCCTGTAATCCCAGCACTTTGGGAGGCCGAGGTGGGCAGATCACCTGAGGTCGGGAGTTCAAGACCAGCCTGACCAACATGGAGAAACCCCATCTCTAGTAAAAAATACAAAATTAGCTAGGCGTCGTAGTGGATTGTAATTCCAGCTACTCAGGAGGCTGAGACAGGGGAATCGCTTGAACCCAGGAGACAGAGGTTGCGGTGACCTGAGATTGTGACATTGCACTCCAGTCTGGGCAACAAGAGTGAAACTCAGTCAAAGAAAGAAAGAGAGAAAAGTAAAAAAATAAAAATAAAAAACAAAGAAAAAAATTTAAAAAAGAGAGAGGGAGGGAGGGAGGAAAGAAGGAAGGAAGGAAGGAAGGAAGAAAAAAAAGAAATATTTATTGCTCACAGTTCGAAGTTCAAGATCAAGACAGGGTACACTGTCTGTTTCATAGATGGTGCCTTCTTTTTTTTTTTTTTTTTTTTTTTTGTTTCTATATGTGGAGGCCTTGCAAACCCGTCACTGAGTTTATTGTAGAGAATAGTAATAGGAAATGGGATTGTACAAAGGGAAGAGATGGAGACAAAACTGGATGAGGGTTTCACACTGGGTGTCCCATCCGCAGGCCTCAGCAGCCCTGCCATGGATCTGCCCGGTTCTTTTGCATCAGGAAGTTGATCTTGCGAGCCATTTCCATGTTGTAGATCCGCCGGCACTTTTCATAGCTTTCCCTCTGTCGCCGGCGGCATGGCTTCTCATAATACCGCCGACGCTTAATGTCCTCAATGAGCCCATCCATAGTGAGGATTCTGTTTAGGGCCCTGTATGCGCTTTCCACGTTCCCTTCCTGTACCATCACAGTCCTTGCGATGAACTTCAGATGTCTTGCCATGACCTTGGATTTAAGTCTTCACTCCAAAGCCTGGCGCGCTCAGTACCTAGCCGACCCCAAGGCTTCTCCGATGGTGCCTTCTTGCTATGTCCTCACATGATAGAAGGGGCCAGGAAGGCCAGGCAAGGTGGCTCGTGTCTATAACCCTAGCAGTTTGTGAGACTGAGACAGGAGGAGTGCAAGACCAGCCTGGGCAACATAGATGGTGTCTCTCCCGCTATGTCCCTACAAAAATAAAAATTAAAAATTAGCCAGGTGTGTTGGCATGTGCTTGTAATCCCAGCTACTCAGGAGGCTGAGGTGGGAGGATTGGTTGACCCCAAGAGGTCGAGGCTACAGTGAGCTGTAATTGCACCACTGCACTCCAGCCTGGGCAACACAGCAAGACCCTGTCTCCAAAAAAAGGAAGGTGTGAGGAAGCTTTTTGCAGTTGCTTTTACAAGAGCCCTAATCCCATGCAGGAGAATATCACCCTTGTGATGTAATCACCCCCCAAAGACCCTATTTCCAAATACCATCAGACTGGTGATTAGGTTTCAGCATGTGAACTTGGAGAGACACAAACATTCAGCTCATAGCCCCCTATCTTGAGATTCTTTTTTTTTTAAGATGGAGTCTCACTCTGTCACCCAGGCTGGAGTGCAGTGGCACAATCTTGGCTCACTGCAGCCTCCGCCTCCCGGATTCAAGGTACGCTCCTGCCTCAGCCTCCTGAGTAGCTGGGACTACAGTGTGTGTCATCATGCCCGGCTGTTTATATTTTTAGTGGAGATGGGGTTTCACTGTGTTAGCCAGGATGGTCTCGATCTCCTGAACTCATGATCTGCCCACCTTGGCCTCCCAAAGTGCTGGGATTACAGGTGTGAGCCACAGCACCCGACCCCGTCTTGAGATTCTTAGCTGGAGCCCAGGGCTTCCCTAGTTGATGGGGCTACAGGCAAGCCCTAGATTTCACAATAGGATCAAAATCATTAATAATTTTAATTATCAGTTAGGGCACTGCTATTTGCTAGGTATCAAGCTAAGGACACCTCAAAGCTACCTAGGAAGTTGGTAAGTTCATTCTACAGCTGGAGAGACAGAATCAGAATGGCCTTCATTTGTTCTAAATCAAGAGCCAGGACAGGTAGAGGACCAGCTGTCCTGGGACCCCTCTGCCCCTCCCACCAGGCTGAGTCCCTCAGCAGATGTCCCCTGGCTTGTCGCTCCCAAGGGAAGATTTTCCCTCCAGTATGCCTCCCAAGGCCCAGAAGATAACTCCACCCTTCCTCCAAAATGTCAGCCAGTGATTGCGACCCAGGGATGTCTAATTCTTCTTTATTATTTTATTTTGACTATCATTCATTAAGCACATTTATTGCTGGATAGAGTCATTTAACAATTTTTTCTTTTTTTGAGCCTGAGTCTTGTTCTGTTGCCCAGGCTGGAGTGCAGTGGCATGATCACAGCTCACTGCAACTGCTGCTTCCCGGGTTCAAGTGATTCTCCTGCTTCAGCCCCCCCAAGTAGCTGGGACTACAGGCACATGCCATCATGCCCAGCTAATTTTTGTATTCTTAGTAGAGATGAGGTTTTACCATGTTGTCCAGGCTGGTCTTGAACTCTTGACCTCAAGTGATCTGCCCACCTCGGCCTCCCAAAGTGCTGGGATTTATAGGCATGAGCCACTGTGCCTGGCCCATTCAACAAATATTTAGTGAGCATTTACTGTGTGCTGGGTCATTTATCAGTCCCAGGAAGACAGACATGAACAACAACAAAAAATATTCCTGGCTGGGCATGGTGGTTTATTTCTGTAATCCCAGCACTTTGGGAGGCTGAGGCAGGCGGATCACTTGAGATCAGGAGTTCAAGACCAGCCTGGCCAACATGGTGAGACCCCGCCTCTATTAAAAATGCCAAAAAAATTAGCCAGGCACGGTGGCAGGCCCCTGTAATCCCAGCTACTCGGCAGGCTGAGGCAGGAGAACTGCTTGAACCCAGGAGATGGAGAGCTAGACTCCAGACAGTGCTGTGGCCGCTGCACCTAGGAATTGACAGGGGCATTCTTGCAGTAAATTCCCCACATGGCCAGAGACCTGGGAAGTCAAAGACTGGGGTGCAGGGCAAAGGCAGTGGGTGGGGAAGGGCTCTGACAGCCCCCTTTCCTGGCCCGGCAGATCCTGACCACGTACCACAAGTCCCCAGTGTCCTGGGAAGACAGCTGCAACCGGTGCCAACTGAATGCGACTCTCTGCAGTGTTCCAGAAGGTGAGCCTGGACCCAGGAATGCCTAATCCTTGTTCTTTGTTATTATTATTTTTTTTTTTTTGGTCTTTGAGGTTTTTTTTGAGATGAAGTCTTGCTCTGTCACCAGGGCTGGAGTGCAGCGGTGTGATCTCAGCTCACTGCAACCTCTGCCTCCTGAGTTCAAGAAATTCCTGTGCCTCAGCCTCATGAGTAGCTGGGACTACAGGTGCTGCCACCACACCCGGTTAATTTTTATATTTTTAGTAGAGATGGGGTTTCACCATGTTGGCCAGGCTGGTCTCAAACTCCTGACCTTAAGTGATCTGCCCACCTAGGCTTCCCAAAGTGCTGGTATTACAGGTGTGAGCCACTGCACCCAGCCTATTATTTTATTTGACTATCATTCATTAAGCACATTTATCATGTAATGCAGTCATTCATCAAATATTTAGTGAGAACAGGCACGGTGGCTCATGCCTGTAATTCCAGCACTTTGGGAAGCTAAGGCAGGATGATCACTTGAGCACAGGAGTTCCAGACCAGCCTGGGGAACATAGCAAGATCCAACCTCTAAAAAAAAAAAAAAAAAATTAGCCAGATGTGGTAGTACACCCCTGTAGTCCCAACACTTTGGGAGGCCAAGGCAGGGGTGTCACTTGAGGACAGGAGTTTGAGACCAGCCTGGGCAACCTAGCAAGACCCCATATCTACAAAAAAATTAAGTTAGCTGGGTGTGGTGGTGTGCACCTGTAGTCCCAGCTACTGAGGGGTGAGGCAGGAGAATTGCTTGAGCCCAGGAGTTAGAGGCTGCAGTGAGCTATGATCACCACACTGCGCTCCAGTTCAGGTGATAGAGTAATACCCTGTCTCTAATCAAGTTTGAATAGAAACAACATTTTAGTGAGCACTCACTGTGTGTTGAGTTGTTTATGAGCCCCGGCAACATAGGCATGAACAAGAAAAATATTCCTTTTTTTCCAAGAAGCCACATTCTAGTGGGGAGAGACAAGCAATACATAAATTGTAACATATTATACTCTTACTATTATTTATTTACAATCTAAATAAATACATCTAGGCTGGGCACCATTGTTCACACCTGTAATCCCAGCACTTTTCGAGGCCAGGGCAGGAGGGTCATTTAAGGCCAGGAGTTCAAAACCAGCCTGGGCAACATAGCAAGATCCCATCTCTATAAAAAAATTGTTACCCATGCATGGTGGTGGGGACCTGTAGTCTTATCTACTCAGAAGGCTGAGGCAGGAGGACTGCAGGCCAGGAGGTTGAGGCTGCAGTGAGCTATGATTGCACCACTTCACTTCAGTCTGAACCACAGAGTGAGACCATGTCTGTAAGAAATACAAATAAATACATATATATTAAAAACAATCAGGCCAGGCACAGTGGCTCATGCCTGTCATCCCAGCAGTTTGGGAGGCCAAGGCAGGCGGATCATGAGGTCAGGAGGTAGAGACCATCCTGGCTAACGTGGTGAAACCCCACCTCTACTAAACATATAAAAACATAGGCAGGTATGGTGTGTGCCTGTAGTCCCAGCTACTCAGAAGGCTGAGGCAGGAGGACCGCTTGAACCCAGGAGGCAGAGGTTGCAGTGAGCCGAGACTGTGCCACTGCACTCCAGCCTGGGTGTCAGAGTAAGACCCCATCTCAAAAAAAAAAAAAAAATCAGTATATAGCATAATAGCAGGTGATAACAAGTCTGTAAAAAATAAAATAGAAAGTCCAGGCACAGTGGCTCACAGCTGTAAGCCCAGCACTTTGGGAGACTGAAGCAGGTAGATCACCTGAGGTCAGGAGTTCAAGATCAGCCTGATCAACAAAGTGAAATGCCATCTCTACTAAAAATATATAAATTAGCTGGGCATGGGGCCTGGATCCTATAATCCCAGCTACTCGGGAGGCTGAGGCAGGGGAATCACTTGAACCTGGGAAGTGGATGTTGCAGTGATCCGAGATGGTGCCATTTCACTCCAGCCTGGGCAACAGAATAGGACTCCATCAGAAAGAAAGAAAAAAGAAAGAAAGAAAAGAAAGAAAGAAAGGAAGAAAGGAAAGGAAAGGAAGGAAGGAAGGAAGGAAGGAAGGAAAAGAAAAGAAAGAAAGAGAGAAAGAGAGAGAAAGGAAGGAAGGAAGGAAGGAAGGAGGAAAGAAGGAAAGATGGAAGAGTAGTTGCTTATAGTCATTACTGGAGATAGTGAAAAAGAAGAGAATAAATAACGTAGGAAAAGGAGATGCAGGCTTTGGGATGATCCAGGAAAAGCCCTCTGAGTATATGGCATATGAGCTGAGATAAGAAAGGAGGGAGAGAGTCAGCCATGAAGGATCTGAGGGAAGAGCATTCCAGGCAGACAGAACAGCAGGTGCAAAGGCCCTGGGGCAGAAATGAGCTCATCATGTTTGAGAAATAATGAGGAGGCCTGTGTAGCTACAGGAGGAGCAAGGGTAGAGTTTTAGAAGAAGTTGGAAAGCTGATGGGGGAAGATGGTATAGGGACTTGCTAGCCACAGCGAGGACTTTGGCTTTTGTTCTGAGTAAGGTGGGAGCCATAGAAGGTTCCAAACAGAGAAGGAACGTGACCTACCACAGGTTTGCACAGTCTTCCTCTGATCTGACCACTCTGGGGGAAACAGACTGTAGAGGGTGAGGGTGGGAGCCAGATGACCAGGAAGGAGGTGACTGCACTGGTCCTGCAGGAGATGGTGGAGGCCGGGCCAGATTAGGGGCTCTGGAGATTATCAGAAACAGTGGGCTGGGAAGTGGCTCTTGCCTGTTATTCCAACACTTTGGGAGACAGAGGCAGGAATATCGCTTGAGCTTAGGAGTTCAAGACCAGGCTGGGTAACATAGGGAGACCCCATCTCTACAAAAAAAATTAGCTGGACATGGTGGTACGTGCCTGTGGTCCCAGCTACTTAAGAAGTTGAGGTGGGAGGATCGCTTGAGCCCAGGAAGTTGAGGCTGCAGTGAGTCATGATTGCACCATTGCACTCTAGCCTGGGCAACAGAGTGAGACCCTCTCTTAAAAGAAAAAACAAAAAGAAAACAAAAAACAGAAATAGTTGGATTCCTCAGTTCCCAGTCTAGGGCACCAAGAAGAGAGGACTATTGGGAGCTCACTGTGTAAGTAAAGAGAACAAGCCTCACCAGTCCCATGAATTGTAGGGACTAAACATGACCCAGGCTTTGGTTTTTGCCAGATTTCTTAATAATAATAGTTACAAAGCACTGATCAGGCACCATGCAGAGAGCTTTACTTTTATTAACTCATTTAATCCTCATAACAACCCTGTTGGGTTGGGAATGTTATGATCCCCACTTACAGACGAGTAAACTGAAGCACAGAGAAGTTCAGCAACTTGCTTAAGTCACACAGCAGTCAGAATTTGAACCCAAGAAGCTGGCTCCAGAGACTGCACTTGATCACTGTGCTCTCCAGCCTCTAAAACGCTGCCTTCTCTCTGCAGAAAATAAAAAGGGAGAGGAGACTTTTCAGCTCCGGATGGAAACAAGGTGAGGGCACCATGATCTTGGACTGGGTGGGAGAAGGGTCTCACTTTCTGCTATCCAGATTCCTCAGCGGCCCTCCCTGTGTGCTGAGTGGATGGTGGAAATCAGCCAAGCTTGCTTCTCTGTGCCTGTTCCCCATTCTGTCCCTGCCTCCTGCCATGTCTGCATGTCCTCAGATGACATGCTCTGTGACTCAGATGCCCAGAGCTGGTTCCAAGCCCTGAAGCTCTCCCCGTGGTTCTCATCTTCAGGCACCCCAGCCCCTACCCCAGTCCTGCCCTGTCCCATACCTCCCTTGCCCAGGTCTGCTTCAAATACAAATATTATTGGTCACCTACTGTGTGCCAGGCCCTATTCTTGGAGTTAGGGACCCAGTTATGAGCAAGGCAGCCTCTCCTTGCCCTGGCGAAGCCCACAGTCTATCAGGAGAGACAGACAATCATCAAATAATCACACAGAACCAATATGAAATGGCAACTATGATTTTCATGTGGCAAAGGAGAGGTTTATAGAGTCATGGGAAGCAAATCAGAGAATGATCTGGGCCCGGCGCAGTGGCTCATGCTGTAATCCCAGCACTTTGGGAAGCCGAGAGGATCACTTGAGCCCAGGAATTTGAGGCCAGCCTGGGCAACACAGCAAGGCCCCATCTCTAAAAAAGAAAAAGTTCAAAAATTAGCTAGGCATGGTGGTACATGCCTATAGTCCCAGAGACTCACAAGGCTGAGACAGGAGGATCGCTTGAGCCCAGGACGCTGAGGCTACAGTGAGCTATGATTGAGCCACTGCACTCCAGCCTGGGTGACCCTGTCTCAAAAGGAAAACGAAAATGAATGATCTGGTGTGTTTGGGGTGTAGGTTTGGGAAGGCTTCCCAGGGTGAGTGATGCATCAGCTAAGATGGAAAACATGAGGGATGTTTCAGGATGAAAAGGCAAAATTGAGGGTTCCAGGCCGAGTGAACAGCATGTGCAAAGGTCTGCTGGCAGGAGAAGGAACAAGGCTAACAGTGATCAAATGAAGGCTGAGGTGGGAGGAGGTGACATGGAAGGGTGTCAGGACTGAGGGAAGGCCTTTGGTCAGTGAAGCAAGGAGGTTGACATAGTCAGATCTCTGCTTGCTAGAGCTCTGTTGTGCATGGCAAAGGGGACATGGGGAGACCTGAGAGGAGGCTACTGCACTAGACCGAGCAAGGGATGATAGCAGTGGGGAGGACAGTGGGGAGAGATTGGGGCTGAGAACTCCCAGGTTCCAGGACGATCGAGAGGCCACGATGACCATCATGGAGGTCTCCCTGCTCACTGGCTTCTACCCCAACCAGGATGATCTCAAACGGGTAATGCAGACCCCACCTGCCTGCTTCCTGAGTAACATTCCCATACTTCCCACGTGGGTGCAGGGCAGTGTCTACTCAAGGCAAGACTCCGGGGTTATAATGCCCCAGCGTCACTTCTGGTTGACTCCCTGCATGGCCTCAACCAAATCTTTTTCCTGCTGGGGCCTCAATTTCCCCAAGAGTAGGGTTGATTGGACAGAGGCTGGAGCTCTAGGGCTGGGGGCCTTGGAGGCTGTCAGCACCTCCAGTGTCTGCCCTCTGCCCCAGCTCACAAGTGATGTGGAGAGGTACACCTTTCAGTATGAAACCAAGACAAGTACCAGCGATAGCACCGTTGTCCTCTACCTGGAGAAGGTGAGGAAGGCCGGGTGCCCTCCACCAGAGGCGTGTGGGCACCCCGGGGGCTGGAGAACCCAAGGTCATTCCCCTGGGAGGGTTTTGCAGAGAGCGAGGCCCTCTGAGGTTAGCTCCTCTGGTTGCAATTCCTGTGATTAAGGCCTCATGGCCCGTGGTCATGACCAATGCCAACAGCCAAGGCCTCATGGTCAGTGCCACAAGGTCAGTGCCCCACGGTCAGTGGCCCTGGTCGGCTCAGACAAGACTCTGTTCTCTCCAGCTCTCCCATGAGAAAAACACAGTGCTGGGCTTTCGGGTTCACAGGATGCTGCAGGCGGAGTTCCTGCAGGCCGCCCTGAGCACCGTCTATGACTACTACGAGCCTTGTAAGGAGGGGCCCTCGCGCAGGGGGAGGAGGCCTGCAAAGGACAGGGCCAGAAGCCATGGGATGAGAGACTGGGCATTGCCAAAAGGGGGCGTGGCCTGGGTGCGCATAAGGGGTGGGGCCTTATGGGATTGACGTACGTGGGCGGGGCCAGGAAGGAGATGGGGCAAAGTTGAAGGGGGACTGGGCGCGGCCTGCAGGGAATGGGTGGGGAAGGGGCAGGCTCTTTTGAGTGGGTGTGGCCTGTCGACTGAGGTGGCTGGGCACGGCCCTTCAAAGTGAGTTTTGCAGCAGGCAGGACCAGGAGGAGGGGAAGGTCTGGGAGGACCTGGAGGGCACAGCCCTGGGACAAGGAGAAGCAGGAGGGAGCCTGGACTCGGCCCTTTGGAGGATGAGAAGGGCAAGGCCAGGGCCCGGAGGGGAGAGGTGGACACTGAACCCCCAGGAACTCTGGCCCAACGACCCCTCCCCCAACCCCTGCACCCTCCACCCACAGCCCGCAGGTGCAGCACTTTCTACAACCTGCCCACAGAGCAATCTTCCCTGCAAAAGATCTGCCTCAAAGACGTCTGCAGATGTGCAGAGGGTGAGATGTACCGAGAGTGAGCTTCATGTCACCGGGCTGGGGCTGTCAGGTTGTGGGGGCGGGGGGGGGGGGGTGGATCCAGGACCCCTTCAAGCCTCCTCCTGGCTGTAGTCTGGTCTGAATTTAGACAGAAAGAGACAAAGCCAAAGAGAGACAGAAACAGGCGCAGAGAGACAAAGATTGTCACACACGCGCGCGCACTGCCAAAGATCAAATGACAGGGAGACAGACACAAAGAGACGAAGAAGGGAGAAATAGACAAGAAAGTGACCAAAGGCCGGGCGTGGGGCTCACGCATGTAATCCCAGCACTTTGGGAGGCCGAGGCAGGTGGATCACGAGGTCAACAGATCGAGACCATCCTGGCCAACATAGTGAAACCCCGTCTCTACTAAAAATATAAAAATTAGCTGGGTGTGGTAGTGAGCACCTGTACTTTCAGCTGCTCCAGAGGCTGAGGGAGGAGAATCGCTTAAACCTGGGAGGCAGAGTTTGCAGTGAGCCGAAATCACACCATCGCACTCCAACCTGGCAACAGAGCGAGACTCCGTCTAAAAAAAAAAAAAAAAAAACAAATGACCAGGCCAGGCGTGGTGACTCACACCTGTAATCCCAGCATTCTGGAAGGCTGAGGCGGGCAAATCATGAGGTTGATAGATCAAGACCATCCTGGCCAACATGGTGGAACCCTGTTTTTACTAACAATACAAAAATTAGCTGAGCGTGGTGGCACACACCTGTAGTCCCAGCTAGTCAGGAGACTGAGGCACAAGAATCACTTGAGTCTGGGAGGTGGAGGCTGCAGTGAACTGAGATCACACCACTGCACTCTAGCGTGGGTGACAGAGCGAGACTCTGTCTAGAAAAATAAATTGGCAAGTATGATGGCTCACATACCTGTCATCCCAACACCTTGGGAGGCTGAGATGAGAGGATTGCTTCAGCTCAGGAGTTTGAGACCAACCTGGCTAACATAGTGAGACTCCATTTTTTTTTTTTTTTTTGGAGACTGAGTCTTGCTCTGTCACCAGACTGGAGCGCAGTGGGATGATCTCGGCTCACTGCAACCTCTGCCTCCCTGGTTCAAGTGATTCTCCTGCCTCAGCCTCCCTAGTAGCTGGGACAACAGGCACATGCCACCTCACCCAGCTAATTTTTGTATTTTTAGTAGAGACGGGGTTTCACCATGTTGGCCAGGATGGTCTCAATCTCTTGACCTTGTGATCCGCCTGCCTCAGCCTCCCAAAGTGCTGGGATTACAGGCATGAGCCACCCTGCCCGGCCCCCATCTCTTTAAAAAAAATAATAAAAAGAAAGAAAAAGAAAAAAAAAAGAAAGAACAAAGGAAGGAAGGAAAAAGAAAATAGAGAAAGAGAGCCCCACAGACTAGAAAGGTCAGATCCAGAGACCCAAGGGTCCCAGGCCTGGGGGCTGAAGGGAGGGAAAGTGGGGGGTGCGAATAGGAGGAAGTCCCCTGTCCCAGTGCAGCCAGAGCAGCCGCCCGCCTGACCCTGCAGGACAGTGCCCATCCCTGTGGAAGCCCAGTGTCCAACTGAGGCAGGAGGAGCTCCAGGTAGCAGCATATGAGACAGGTGTGGATTTTGGTGAGTGTGTTGAGCGGCAAGGGACAGGCAGAGCCCACCTGCAGGCCAGATGCCAACATGACACCCTCCTGCCTTCCCCTTTCCCCAGTGTACAAGACAAAGCTGGAATCTGTGGGGGTCTCTGCCTCCAACCCTTACGTCTATTACAACATGCAGCTTGAAGACATCATTAAGAGTGGTATGTCCCAGGTGACAAAGGAGAAATCCCAGTGTGGAGTCATGCTGGAGGTCCACCCTGGGGGTCCCACTGTGCAGGAGGGTCCAACCTCTGCATGCACACACACTGGGTTTTCTCCAGGCACGGACCCTGCCACACCTCTCAGCATGAAGAAATTTGTCTCCCACGCCACCTGCCACGACTCCCTGGGGTTGCAAGAACAGGAATCATACCTCATCATGGGCCAGACATCAGACCTGCAGAAGCCCAGTGGGTATGTGAGGGGCTCCACCTGTCCTGTGGACTCAGGCCTGGTCTTTTCCCTACCCTCAACCCAGCCTTCAGTTCCACAATTTTTGCTGGACTTATCACAAGAGATCTCAGATTTCAGGGTGGCCCTAAATGGAGGTACAAGTTGTGTACTGCACAACTCCAGGAAGTACCATCCATACAGTGCAACCTTGATCTCACTGCAACCTCCATCTCTGGGTTCAAGTGGATCTCCTGCCTCAGCCTCCCAAGTAGCTGGGATTACAGGCGTGTGCCACCATTCCTGGCTAATTTTTGTGCTTTTAGTAGAGATAGGATTTCATCATGTTGTCCAGGCTGGTCTCAAACTCCTGGCCTCAAGTGATCCGCCCACCTCAGCCTCCCAAAATGCTGGGGTTACAGGCGTGAGCCACCGCACCTAGCCAGGGAAGTGATTTGGGCTAAGAGGCTGGAAGACCAGAGAGGGCCCTAGGGTGTGGACACTGCAGGCTAAGGCTCTGGGAGGCTGTCAGACAGGGCAGGGCAGGGAGGTCCCTGTGTCTCCAGGGCACCAGGTTCTCCTCAGCTGCTTGCTGTCTCTGGCCCACAGTTACAGCTACGTCCTGGGCTGGGAGACGTTCCTCATGCTTTGGCCAGCATACAGAGATGCCAGCAAGGAAGAACTGTGGGGCCAACTGGAGGAATTTTCGGAATATATGCGCACCCACGGCTGCGAATCCTGAGCCTCTTCTGCTTTCAGGAAGCTGTCACTAGGCAGCTCTGGGCCACTGGGTTTAACCCCAACTAAAGAGCACAGGATGTCACAGGCAAACCCTGGACACCTGTCGCTGTTTCAGCTTTCACCAGGGGACCTGCACAACCTGCCCTGGCATGGCGGGAACCCGTCTCCTGTCTCCTCCCTTTCTTGCTCCATTCTAATCACACTGGCCTCCCTTGCATCCTTCCAACACCCACCTCAGCAGGGAGATGATTCCCAGTGCTGGGCTTCTGCACCCACTATTCCTCACCCAGGCGCACTCCTCCCCCAAAGTTGGCTTGGCTTGAACCATTCCTTTGTGTGGGTTCTGTTTAAATGTCACCTCTGGCCAGGCATGGTGGCACATGCCTGTAATCCCAGCACTTTGGGAGCTGGAGGTGGGTGGATCACTTGAAGTCAGGAATTCGAGACCACCTTGGCCAACATGGTGAAACGCCGTCTCTACTAAAAATACAAACATTAGCTAGGCGTGGCGGCACACGCTGTAATCCTAGCTACTCGGGAGGCTGAGGAAAGAGAATCATTTGAAACTGGGAGGTGGAGGTTCCAGTGAGCCGAGATCGTCCCACTGTACTCCAGCCTGGGCAACAGAGCAAGACTAAGTCTTAAATAAATAAATAGGTAAGTAAATAAATGTATGTCACCTCTTCAAAGACACCTTCTCGGGCAGAGTGCGGTGGCTCACACCTGAAATCCCAGCACTTTGGGATGCTGAGGCGGGAGGATCATTTGAGGACAGGAGTTCAAGACCAGCCAGGGCAACATAGGAAGACCCCTGTGTCTACTAAAAATAAAAACAAATTAGCCAGGCATGGTGTTGCACGCCTGTAGTCCCAGCTACTTGGGAAGCTGAGGCAGGAAGATCACTTGAGCCCAGGAGTTTGAGACCAGCCTGGGCAACATAGTGACAC